CAGGATCCTAAGGAAAAAATAGCGTATGAACCTACTCTTTGTCACTGTCTACCATGGGAATGCATCTCTTTATGTTGCTCCACTGCCTTGTTGATTAGACCTGTAGGTCAAAGGCTCGGCGTGTGGCCCCCTAAGAGAACAACCTGCTTCGGTTTGGATACTCGGGCAGTATTCTAGCCCTCACACAAATCGAGTGATTTATGTGGCGCAAATATATTTGGCACCTTCTTTTACCAATCTTTATGTGTTTAAATACTAAATAAAAATAACATAAATTGTGTAAGTTGACCACGGAAGTTAAAAATATGGAAAGGCATAGAATAATGAACTACTTACAATTCAGAAACTTACAATCAGTTTGTTCATTTAGATCACTGAAATCAGTTAGAGACATGTAAAATAATGGTTTTCAATTACTGGGTTTAATTCTTCTATAAAGACTCCTTTTTATGATCTGTAAAACTTATAAAGTATTTAATTTGTGATAATCGACTTTACCGTAGTTTGTATTTGATTCGTCAGTTGGGATAGTGGATTTGATTCCAATGATGAAATGTAGTTCCCATTAAACCTATATATTCTTAGATTTGCCACGTTGAACAATGCAACAAGGCTGAATACGAAATGCTATCGGGAATCTGATTCAGAGATATACGTATCGGTAGGCATATTGAGAAAGTAAATATACTAACGTAGCTTGGAAATTTGTGTACTATCCAACTCATTGGATAGTTTTGTGTTTCAGTTTTTATGGTTCACATAGACATAAGGGAGCAGATAGAAACATAAATATCAAACAGCACATGTATATGTGCTGGATTAATAAAGACAAATATAAAAAGGCATGCAAAATAACTCGTAAGATTTGAGTGGTTTATTTGTCATCTGATCTGTCTGACTTAACGTTTGTTCAGAACATGACAGATTTACGGAGGAGTGTAATAAAGACTGGTTGTCTAAAACCTGTCAACCTACTTTTATTGATATGAACTGTATTTTTTTTACTTACTGAAAATGCATATTAAAGCTGATTCTGAAGTACTTTGAATGTTTTTACGTTCATACAACCTTAATATTGTTATTGCTAAGATTGTTAAATACTCATCAAATACCGTGTCGTATATTATGAGTTTAAGATTGACTGGACATGTTGAGACTCGAGAAGCCTAGTACGCACAAATTACTCTTTATATATGAGACATATTCCATAGAATAGTAACTGAACTTGTAGTTAGTTGCAACCAAATCTGAATAAAATTTTGTATGAATTTGTAAACCGCATCTTTTTCTCTGTAGGAATGTTTGTGGTCCATTATACACTCGTGTATGTAGGCTAGCTAATGAAAGTGCATACCATTCTCAAGCTATGTCTATTTGTTCTGCCTTTGCTGGTGCTAATGGCTCTTGCAACGTTGGATCTAGTTCTGGAATATTTCCATCCAGTACTAGTCAAAATAATACGAATGTTACTTCCAACAGTAATACTACTTCCTGGCCAAATTGTTTTCTAATTGTGGTACTCTCGGAGTCATCTACTATGCTCATCCGCCTTATGAAACCTGTTCATTCAACGAAACTTGAGGTGGAGAAAAGTTATGATTCATGTTTTCCTTTTTCCGGTCACGCAACCCTTAATCCTCATTCATTATTAGTTTCTTCGGAAGATCCTGACATCGTAGATCGGGAGGTTCATCTTCACAGAGAAAATTTAAAATCGAACCTTTCAATCCGGCATTGGTATGACTATCTTACAACTTATCTTTCATGGACTATTGGTTATGTTCCACATAGTATCTGTTCTCGTATTCGGCCGGTATTTCTATATCGAAATGTTCGTAGGTGCGTAAATGCTTTGACACGTGATGCACTTCAAAGAAGACAACAGCTACTTGTTGATACTGGAGATATACAACCTGAAGAGGTTTGTTAACTGTTACCATACTATATATAATTTCATTAACCTTTTTTGTAAACTGTTTTTGAAAGTAACTTTATCCCTTTTTAAAAGGTTTTCACGGATTAGTTGCACATAGTTTCTTGACAATGTTGTAATGTAAACCGTTGGCAGGATGTAGATTTGGTTAAAAAATGTTTCGTTCAGGGTTGTGTTAGGGGACACTAATGAGCCATTTTCCGAGCAATCAGCGCTAACGGATTCTTGGATATGCTCTAGTTAGCGTTTTTTAGGCAAGGTTGTTTTCTACGTTGCGGGGTTACTGATACCATGCCCAACATTCCTCATTTATCCGGGCTTGCGAATAACAGCAACCCTATTGTGATTCCTGTCTCCATTCAGTCTTGTTTATTTGGAATTTAACTACTTCCCTTTTCAACTTCCTCACGATTTGGGGACTTGTCAAGTGAAGTAGCGTCGGAAGAATACTAAGCAATAAGGGTAGCTGGGTCGTAGTAAGAGAATTTAAACCTGAACAAGTACAGTAAATTGAACACAAAATACCATCTTTGTAGACTTATTCTGAACAGATTTCATATTGTTTCGAGTTATGTTGTCGATGTGTGGAGTAGTCTTAATCAACAACTTCAAATTATCATCAAATCTGTTAACCTATTTTTGTTTTCGAAGATGGTTTTTGCATATATTTTCATTGTGGTGATAGGTTAGTATTCTACTGCTCATGTATAATCGAAACAAATAAACGTGTTTTACTTCTTATTCGTCTTTTTAAATTTTAGATTTTATCACAAGGTTTAGTCTCTAGTGGTGTTAAGAATCCGATTTCAGCAAACAAATCTGAAACAGATGAGCAATTTAAATCTCCTAACACATCGAATTTTGAACGAGATGTATGGGAGTTCATGATCCGAGTATTCAAAAATAATCTCACACATAAAGAGGTAAATTTATTTTGATTTAATTCCAGTTCTTTTATTCTGTTTTGTGTGCATAGGTATAATTTTTTTTAGTCTTTTGAAGGTGGAAAATCTACATAAAGATTACAGCAACTAGATAAATTATATTTAGCAAACTGTGATTTATGAAGGTTAAAACTGTTCTTTATTTCAGGTGCCATATGCATGATTGCGTTATAAAATCTAATGGTATATTAATCATACTCATTTCAATTCATTTATCCTTCATAGTAGATAAACTCATAGTATCAATAATTGTTATAAATATACAATGGTTAATTCGACCATAGTAGTTTGTAGTAAAGTATACAGTCAGTTCTGAATATTGTCACATGTTGTATAAAAAGGTTAAGTCGAAAAATCCCTTGAAAAGCGTAGTACATTTACTACTGCTTACAGTTAAGTCGAAATTCGTGTTCATTTACACAGTTGTATGAATTATTTTCCTTTTCCATAGTTATTCCGTGATACATTTTCAAGTGATTGTATGCATTTCACTGAGCGTTTGGACTCAAGAGTTACTCGTAATCACAAAATTAATTGGTCCGTCGGTTCCTACGGGATTTTCATTCGATATCGTAGACGAGTGAGTTGAAGTAAAACAATTTTTCTGAATAGAACTAATTTATAAATGCCATATTTTGAAAAGAAAAATCGAGTTACTTTGTGCTTGTATTATGTTTTCAAAGCAGGTGCTATCACTCAATATGCGTATTGGTTTTTTAATGCGTATAAAGATGTATAATCCCTTATGAAAAATAAGTATTTAAAGCCTTGGATCTTCAATTTCTAGGGTCATATGATTGAGATTAGAATTCACATAAACAAATATACGCAAGGTTGTTGTTCAAATAGTTTTTCTATCTTAATTGACCACAATCTATGCTGTATGAAAAGGGTTTATGATGTTAATCTGGGAATACAACTTGTTCGTTCTATACCGATCATTGTTTGTCCATAATAGTATTTACTTTAAATATTCCGGTTTCAGACTTCTCGAAATTATTCGCCTACCAAGTGGTATAAATTCCACTCTGATTGGCTAGCAAAGCATCCTAACTGTGTTCATTCACAAAATAAAGATGAAACACAAAGTGTCAAGCCAGAAATAAACCTTGAGACTGAGGAAGTAAGAAGTTCGGCTACCAGTAGCGGAGTAGAAACAATTATTCTAGAAAAGCCTATTCACGAAAAATTGGATATCGAAATGAATGACAACCACTTTTTCGGCGACGTACAAAGCACTTAATGTGTCAAATATTCTAATTAACAATGTGACGATCCGAAGATTTTACAACCTCAAAAGGACAAAATGCTTCAATAAACATTTCTATTTTACGTTGTAAATATGTTTTCTAGCTTGACTAACAAACTGACCAACCATCAATTTAATTTATACATGTACATACAATATTACTTATTATAGTGCGAGCAGTCCATGTGTATTTGCTTTTTTGCCACAATTATCACCACAATGACGATAATCTCCAATTTAGTAATTCATTCTTCACCTCGAAATTGTTTTGTATCCTTTTGTTTTCTGTTTATTCAATGATATGCTCTGTATGTATACATATACCACTTATTATACACATAACCCAGACTGGTTCTGCTCTTATTTTTATTTTGTCTAAATGAAATCCACATACATGCATTGTATTATTGTTTGTTATCATTCATACGCTACTACAAAATGTGGACGCTCTCTCAGTTTTTACAAATAATAGTGTACATGATACCGACTTGTTGAGTAATTTGTGCTATTTTGTTACATTTGGATAGATATTGTAATATTTCATTTCTATCAAATTTAATATGTAGCCCAAATTTACAGAAATTACTTTTTTTATATATATAATCCATTAAAGTTGATTGAGGCCCTGCCTATTGATGATAGCATGCTAGTACTAATTTATACTCTCTTTACATTGATAGAGGCGCTGAACATTAATATGATTGCACACTAACTTTTTGCATGGAGCACAATGTAGAATTCTAAAAATCCAACGCCTAACTTAGAAACGTCTCCAGTTCACTTCAAATGTCAAAAAGAGCTCGTTAGAAGTGTTAAATAAGGTTGAAAAAGTACAAAAACATGGACATCATCCTCGTACAATAAGTATGCGTTTGCTGAAAAGTTGTTTATTTCATCATGATTAAAATATAATGCGAACATAGTTTTATTGACAAACATTTTTTGTCTGTACAAAGTTGTTTAAAAAAATAACTCAGTCTGTCACATATGATAATCAAAGTGCAATTTTGTAAACATGACCAGCAGCGTTGTGAATTTTTGTAGGTTGCGGTTCTGTTAGTACCCATTCATACCATACATACCGACTACTTACATTACGCCAGAGATACAAAGTGATCTTATCTCTAGAATGAACATGGATTGGATACTCAAATGGAAATACCAACGGGAACCAAGATACCATTTGAGGGCTATGACGGGCCGGATGTGTACCTGGAAAATAAGAATTATATGGACATTGTTTATTATTTCCAGTCACATTCAGGGTTTGGAGCTTTGAAAATTCTAGTGGCAAAGGCTTTTATTTCGAAATGAGAATTATGGGTATCTCACATCACTGTCAAGTTCAAGATAATTTCGTTAATATTTTGATGTAAAGCAATCACGTAATAGATGCTTTTCGTCAAGTCGATAAGCATTTGAAGGAAAACGAACTGTTGCTTAATCCATTCATGTGAAAATTTTAGTGGGAAAGCTGATTTTAAAATGCGACTGATGTTTACCAGTTAATTTACACTGTGATATGTTAATTGAAACTAATCACCTATTAAAGATGATACAAAAACGGGCGAGATCCTAAAATACTCTTAGCAAAATGTGTGCTTATTGAGTGCGGTAATTACTCAGTGGTTGGTTGCCCCTGGAGGTTGAGCTGCAAATAACATACTCTTTTTTGAAGAGTTGGAGAGTATTATGAGACATCTCTACCTGGAGATGTTGGTTCAGCCGTGTGCACAAACGCTTATTAAGTCACAGGGGTACTTTTCATTTAGTATGTAAAATTGCTGAAAAACGATTAAGTACTTAACGAATAAGAATATTTTAGTTTCCTTGGAAATCTGTTCCGTATAGGTAGCAGTACAGCATAGTACAACAGCTCAAAAATAGTTTAACGCAATAAATGATTCGGAAGAGAAGAATAGGTTGGTAACATAAGTGAAAGAATGTTAGCTAAGTGTCAAAAGTCGTTTACATGTTTCATTTGACTGTTGTCTAATGATCGCGCATTTAGTAAGACGTTAAAGAAAGATCCTTAATTGTGAGGTGACACCGATTTTTTAAAATTACGTTAAAAATACTAGATCTTACATGCATTTATTCTGATTTAAATTCAGAATATACTACTAGGAGGAGGTCATTAGTCATTTTTATATACGTCAAATACAAAATATATGTTTAGTTAATAAGTGCTACTATGACAATTAGTTTTAAAATAAAAAAGAACGATGTTTAGTGATATGTTAACACGTAGTAGGACCCTTAATACCCACACACATTTAAGAAAAATGGTGAGAAGACGCTATTTTCTTAAACAATTAGTAAGCAAACCAGTTTGTGCAAAACTAGAGAAGTTCTAAGCATTCCCAAATTTAACTTATAGGTGTTCAAATACTTCCGTCGTTGATGTTATGAACTGAAACTGGTCAGTCTCTTGGCATCTCATGTGACTTGCCTGGCAACCAATGTGGATTCTTGTGAAACCACTCAAACGTATAAATCATAATAATTCCCAATAACTTACTGAGTGTTACGTCCTTATAGAGAACTGCTTCGAAATAACCGGCAATTCCATGTACAACAGCATCTTGTTGAATGTTAAAGCTACAACATACTTCACGTGCATTCGACTGATTCAACTCTAGAAAAAAAACGTATGTCTTATAGTTTAATGAGAATATAAATACTTAGGAATGCAAAATTTTCTAACCATATGCTTATTTACTCACCTTTTTTTGGATGTTCAAATGTAAAAGCTGGTTGAGGTGAACTCAATATTTGACAATTACGAAGTCGAACAACATAAGGTGTTTCCATGGAATACCCGACTCTATTGGTCTGAAGTATCGAAAAAAAGTACAAGTAATAAAGTAAAACCCTTATCAAGGTAATTTTGTCTTTCCAAGTTTAAAACAACTTATTAACCAATCAGTGGGACAGGTCTGGAATAAATTAAAACCATAGGGTGGGATGATAATTGGCAACTAATTAAAATCTAAAAGCATTAGACGAAAGTATTTGATGTATTTTTTTCCCGACCTTAATTCTAGCAGTTGAAACTATGATGCGAGACTTATTTTCCCAAGAAGGGATTATGATACGTTGGGCCAATCTAATGTAGGTAAAGAGATAAATGCATGTTACTAGCCATATCTTGGTTTTATTTTTTAAAGGATAACAAATCATTGGTTTAAAATGTGGCTTTATTTGTTGGATAACAACATTAAAACAACTGTGATTTAGATTACACTCGGCCCTGCATTAATGAATAGTTTCCTACCCCTTTGCACTCAAACCTGATGCTAAATGGTAATAATTTTTAAAATAATGCATTTGGTTATTACTGTTCCACAATAGATATAAGAGCTAATAATTTGTGGAATGATTATTATATTTTAATAACAATGAACTCTAGCAATCAGTAGTTTAGATTCAAGTGCATATGCAGTTACGGACAGGGCTAATTTGTTTCTCAGCATACTATAATCTGTATATATTTTTTGAGGAAAAAAGTTTACATTTAGATATATTGAGCACTTATTTCGTGAACCTTTGAACTAACGACAATTTAAAAAATATATATATTTATGATCATACCTTCAAAATGCATCATTAGGGGTAAAGAAAAAAGTACCATATTCATTTTAATTTTCTAAGGGAAAAACATGTGTATTCATGAGTGTGCATATATTCTCGATTCAATCTTAGTCAATAAAGTGTTATTCTTACTTAAGAAGATGGTTTCGGGCTTGCGTTTACGAAAATTGTGTATTAGCATTAGATGTGAATGACTGTATAACATAACAATAATTAACAACTAGTCTATCACACATAAAAAGCTAAAAATATTAGGGCTACGGTAAAGTGGATCGCTTGTGCACAAGTTGCTACTTTTGTACACATGGTTCAAGTATGAAACATTGAATTGTTAAGTGGTTCTGTAGTGCTGTTATACGATAAAAATAGTCCGTAACTACGACTGAACTTAACAGCAACAACGTTACAGTCAATCAATAGATGCCCTTTGTTTTCACAATATAAAAAGTTGCTGAGGTAGGATACATGAAACGGATTCACAAAAAAGAAACTTTAAAACGACTGTTGAATAGAAGATTCACTTATTCAATGCTGATCTCAACTACACTGAAATGTAGTTTACTGGATCTTAGATTATCATTTATAATTTATGCAGAATAATAACAATAATACTTGCTGCTCTTCACTATATTTAAAAAACTTGGAAAGAAAAATCAAAGAGTAACCAATCATCTTACCACATCTTTAGATCGTCTTGTTTCATTATATATTTGTAAGGATTGTAAAGGAGCAACATATGATGTGTAGGAACACGGTATACTAATTCCATCATCTAAGTGAAATGAATAAGAATACATAATACGTAAAGATTCAGACATTACCATATTTACTTCTTTTTATAGGAGAGCGAATTTTAACAAATGCAAACTACTTACACACAAAAGTTAGTTAGAAATTACAAAATGTTCTGAAAGTTATTCTAATAGAATTGAAGAAACATTGGCAAGTAAAACTAACTATATCAGTAGCTTGCATCACGAACTGATTTCAAGTAGAAAACCACTGTAAACCATGGGACATTGAATGGCTATTTTATTCTAGTTTGTATCTGACTTATCAACAGTTTTTTTACCCACAATTGCACCTGAAATTGAACCCATTACGCCCTAGGTTCTGGATAAGAGACCACTAAGTTTGGATCCACTGATTTGGTTTGGATTTTCAACGTTTATCGGTTAAGGCCGCTCACCAGAATTTCATGAATCCCTCACGACATATATATATATATATATATATATATATATATATATATATATATATATAAACAGGTCCAACATTTCTGTTACAACACAAACTTATCAATAAGCACAAAATAAATGAATAGACATGATCTTGAATGTTTGCTTTACCTATTATACAACCTTTTCTGCAGTTATCTAATATGATAATTTATTTTTGAATAAATATCTTAAAACTTTCATAAAGAACTTTATCTTTAAGAAATGAAAGTTTTTTTTTCCAAAATGTTTGGCGATAATTTACCATATTTAATAGCTCTGCCTTCTATTAATTCATTGTTCAAAATCTTATAATTTACTTGCAACTTTGAATTATTCCTAAATAAACGTAGATGATAATGACAGTTTGTAGAACTAATATATTCTTTTTATTATCATGAGTCTGGTGTACAGCTTAATGGTCTTCTTCAATCTGCGAGAGGAGGGGAAATGAAATAAATTGGCTAGCAACTGTATGATTGTTGTTATAGACTACTCAGAAATAATGTTAAGTTGCATAAACTAATTTATTTATCGATTTGATGCTGAGATGATTTATTAGCAAATATACATAAACAATAGTTAATGAAAAGAGAGCGGAGCAAATAATTGAATATTAACATCTACAGGAGTTACACTGAAGTCGGACTGTTTCATTCATTACTTTGTTAATAAAAAAGTTTTAAGAATAAGAGGGTCAGCTTTTCAATTTTAAAAAATATCGAATATCATTGACAGTTAAGGAGCAAAATATCTTGACTAATAGCATAGTTTAAAATCAAGCTTTTTCTGAAATCCTGTGAGAAACAATTAAAGATTGATTTTTGGAATGGTAGTTAGATAAAAGGTAAAAAAATATGACTTTATTGTTTAAACTCAATAAATTAGTGCTTATAGGTTGAAATGGAATTCTCTTTTGTCAGTTGATAGCTAACTTGATAACCTATGATGATGATGACCTAATGTTGAGTGAACATAAATTGTATAAAAAGTGTATATAATGAACTATGCTAGTAAAATGAGAAGCAATTTTTATCATATTTCATTTTTATTTTGTAATAAATAATTCTGCGTCATTCATATAGTGTATTCGTGATTATTTAGTGCATTCAGTAGAAGGTTTGTAATTGAATGATTAGTGTGTTAGAATTACAACAATTTCTCTTCCGAGGAAAACCCATACCATGTACGAGCCTCTGCCAGGGAAGTCCTACTCACTGCTTTCTCGTGGTATTATTGTTGTTTACGAAATTGAGAAGACCAAAAGCGAATGTCCGGTGCTTTAACCGGGTTGGTGGACACGGAAAGTCCACCTAGGGGAGTTGGAAAACCCTGATTCCAAACCAATGGTGTACATGGGCTCCAGTATCCTGAAGGAACAAATGACGTATGAATCAATCGTTGGTCACCGGCTACCATGGGAATGCATCTCCTTAAGATGGTCCACTGTATTGTGGATCCGAGCTTTAGGTCAAAGGCTCCGGGTGTGGCCCCCTAAAGAGATTTGTGTGGCGCATATGTATCTGATGCTTCCTTGTACCAATAGTTATGTGTTTAAATAAATAAATAATACGAGATTGATATGGACACCGTTTAAAAATTAGTTGCAAATCAGGAAGCAATACTTTTTGAAAGGCTTTGTAATTACTTTTATTACTAAGTAATTGATGAAGACGATCTTGTTTGACTTACCAATAGTTTAAAAATACAAATTCAGAAACTATTAAATATATAAGACTACAATATTAATATTCAATATTGAAGTTCAACTATGATTAGAGAGTAAAATCAAAGGAGAAACTTACCTTTTAACATTGGTTGTGCACCATCTAAACATTCTGGACTTAATTCATTATCACCAAATGAACCAAGTAGTTCACTGACAAATATATCAGCTTGTTCTGGTGTTTTTAAATTACGCATATCACCTTCAATTAATTGTACATCTAATCCTTGCCATTCATGATTTATCCTAGACTGAGTTTGAGGAGAAAAACATTGACAATAGAAACTGAACAAGAGATGAGATTAGGAAAAATAATCATAGAATTGATATAACTCAAAATGCGTTTTTTTAATGAATGTTTGGAAATATAATTCATTATAGGCTTGAAGCTGTAAAAATGCATAGATTCATCTTAATTTTACGAAATTCTCAGCATAAGTATTGTTCTCTATTTTTTCAGTTTGTTTTATCTAATATTTTTTCACAATCTAGTAATGGACAACTATTGGTAGTATTCAAAGATGGATAGTGGCTAGCAGTGGAATCCAGGACGCGCGTTTCGTCCTATTTGGGACTCGTCAGCTGGATGTAAGTGCATCTCAGTGTTGATGTTCACTCTGGGACTCGAACCCGGTACCTTTCGCTTCAAACTCCATCCACTCGGCCACTGAGTCCTGATAGCCACTTGCTTGTGCAATGAGGTGAAGTTTAAATTCACTTAGTATTGTTTGTTTGAATATTCCCATTGATATTTTAGGACTGCAACTGGTCAGTCTCTAATTGGTATATATGCATACTGTGCGCTATATCGAGGCAATACACACAATATGCACATATGCCAATTAGAGATTGACCAGCTGCAGTCCTAAAGCATCAATGGGAAGATTCAAACAAACAATACCAAGTGAATTTATTGGTAGTATTGTTTACACTTAAGTTTAGTTTTCTCATTTTGACGCACTGTTACATGTGTAGCGATATAAATTGATACAGTTGTGTCAGATCCTACGTTGTTTAAAATTAATTTGGGACAAATATTTGTCGGCTTGGAGAATGCCGCGTTACATATTACAACAAAGAGATGTGAAACGAAGGAGTTAAAATATCAAAGATAGTGCCACTCTCTATGTTGTTTATATTTGTTTACTTAACAGAAACCTATATGCGCAACTAGTTAAAATCAGTTTCACATCTTGATAACGAACATTATAACAAGCATACCGGCCAAATGAAAAGTTATATTTATTATTCGTCATCGAAGCGTGATTTGAACCTATGACATCCTGGTTGAGAGCCAAAGACTTTAAAAACTAAACCTTAAAATTACGACATGATTGCACGGAAGTATGGTTGATATTATTAGTTTATTGAATGTTTTGCTTATTTGATACCTTTGACAAAAACTATCCATAAAATACAGACAAAAACATCAAAAGGCTTTAAAAGACTGAGACTGTTACTTAGTAAGTAGCTGGGGTCATAATAGCAGAATAAAAACGTTACTTAGAATGTTCTCCTCCCCAATTTATTTTTCATTAGTGATCAAGCAATATATGTCATGCGTGAGAGCAGTGAATATCTACTTTATCGAATTCTACGCCTTCCTATTGAAACATTCGCATAACTTCCATTAGTATTGAAATCAGAATATTTAGACTAAATCTTGACGATAAATCTCCTTTAAAATAATAGGTTATTTTCCAAACACATGCATAAAAGTGACTTTTCAATAAATAGGATTGCTAACTATGTAGTGTTATGCATATTACTATTCAGTGTAATCAACACAATAGTAAATCCGCCTGTGGCTCTTCTAGGGTTACTGGCGGTCTCGAGCCCGGGTAAAGGAGAAGGGTTGGGCATAAGGTCAGCAACTCCATCCCATGCAAAACAACCTTGCTAAAAATTGGCTAACCAGAATAAACGATTTAGGCCATTTAAAATCTGCCCTAGGAGTGGAAGGATCTTCATCAAGAAGAATTATGACACCTCATGATGAAAGACGAGATACTTCGAAAGTCACGAGGTCGATGCCTCGAGACCCTTGGCAGGATTCAAGACAGGAAGAACAAGAGAGTAAGGAGGGGCATTAGAGCTGACGAGCAGAATTACGTGGAAGATATAGCAACAACAGTGGGATAAGCTGCAAGAAAAGGGAATATGAGGCAACTATAAGATATAACTCCTGAATAGATCCGCCCCAATGAACCCTCCGGACATCGAAGCAGCACACACAGACCTCCCTATAGATGTCGATCCCCCAACAACCGAGAAAATCAGCATGGCCATTAGACAAATCAAGAGTGGCAGGGGAGTATGATCAGACGACATACCAGCTGAAACACTGAAGTCAGACGTATAAGCGAATGCAAACATGCTCCATGTTCTATTCAGGAAGACTTGAGAGGAAGAATAAGTGCCGACAGACCGGAAAGAAGAACACCTCACACCAAGAAACCAAAGGAAATCTGAGCAAGTGTGAAAACTACAGAAGCATCAAACCACTATCAATACCGGGAAAAGTTTTCAACAGTGTTGTTGAACCGGTTGAAAGATTCAGTAGATGAGAAAATTCGAGATCAACAGGCCGGATTCCGCAAGGATCGGTCTTGCACAGACCAATTCACGACACTACGGATCATCGTGGAACAATCAATTGAATGAACTCACCAATATGCATCAACTTCCTTGACCATAAGGAGTTTGAAAGTGTGTATAGAAGCTTATGGAACACTATAATATACCTGAGAAGATCGTTAACATCATATAGAATTCATAAGACAGACTACATTGCAGAGTTGTGTATGAAGGACAGCTGACAGATGCATTCCAAGTGAGGACCGGAGTCAAACAAGGCTGTTTACTCTCCCCCTTTCTCTTTTTTGGGTGGTCGACTGGATTATGTAGACCTCCACATCTGAAGGGAAGCACGAAGTACGATGGACAACTTCCGTGCAGTTAGACTACTTGGACTTCGAAGATGACACAGCTCTTCCATCCTTATACACACAAACAAATGCAGGTGAAGAAAGCCAGTGTAGCATCAGCCTCTATAGCAGTTCGCCGCAACAAACATAAGGAAAAAAGCAGGATCCTCAAATACATAACAGATAGCCCCAAATATATTACACGTGATGGAGAGGTGATGGAACAGGTGGAAAGTTTCTTGTAACTGGGCAACAACATCGACAAACAAGGAGGATCTGATGCAAATGTAAAGACGAGGACTGGCAAAGTAAGATCAGCATTCCTACAGTTGAAGAACATATGGGACTCAAAACAACTTTCAACCAATATCAAAGTCACACTCTTCAATACGAACGTCATAACAGTCCTACTGTATGGAGCTACGACTTGGAGAACTACCACAACTATCATCAAAAAAGTACGAGTATTTATAAACAATTGTTTAAGTAAGATACTCAATGTCCATTGAATGGATACCATCAGCTACAGTCTATTGTGGGAGAGAACAAACCAGCTCCCATCTGAAGAGGAAATTAAGAAAAGACGTTGGAGTTGGATAGGACATACATTGCGGGGATCATCAAACTGCATCAGGCGGCAAGCCGTAACTTGGAATGCTGAAGGGAAAGGGAAAACAGGAAGACCGAGTAACACATTGCGTCCGGAATCGGAAGAAGATATGAATAGGAACTGGGAAGGATTGCCGAGGACAGAGTTGGATGGAGAATGTTGGTGTGAGGCCTATACTCCTTTACGAAGGGTAACAGGCATAAGTGACATCAATGTGCTGGTGGTTAATTAAGCCAGATGCAAACTGGTCAGACGGTTATTGCAAAAGTTTTATAGGCGTGGATAGATTTAAAGATGCGTTAAAAACAAACACAGTTGTGGTGATAACTTGCCAACAGATTTTTTACTAGAAACTTGTCTCTATACAATTAACTCTATTATCATTAACAGATATTTAGGAACTTACACGTAATGTACATAATGCATTTGGATTTTTTTCAACTGCATATATCCGAACTTTACATTGAGCTCTTTCGGCAGCATTTATAGTCGCATTGACAAGGGGACCACGACCTGCACCCAATACCATAACTACTTGACAAGTATTTGAATTATGATTGATAGACGCGTTTACATGCTCTTTAGTTTGTGATGATTGTGGAGGCTTGATAAGGTGATTTTCTGTAACTGTATTTGATTCATTATATTTGGATAAACGGTCGCAAAGAGCTTTGTAAATTGCCTAAATTATTACAAATATATTATCATTACTAATGAATTTTACAAAACCGATATTAAAATTTCACTGTACTAAAGAGCAAACGAAAAATCTGTCTGTAGCTACTGCCGGTCCTAAGCCTGGATAAAGGAGGAGGGTTGGGCATAGGGTTAGAGACCCCATCCCGTAGTAAACCAACTCGCTAAAAAACGCTAACCAAGGAAGTAAAGAGCAAATGAAAGATATTATTAGGAAAGAAATTCAATTATAGATAATTCTTTAGACTAAAGGCAAAATAATGAGTGTTTATTCTCACCCGACTTCCGTTTATATAAATTAATGTTTTACACTTGGAGACATTTGACGACACCACAACTCGTACTTTGGATATAACGAGAAATAATCTAAACTATATTAAGGTCTTACAACGTGTATTGATTACTATCTTTGGTGAAGGCTAGGAGACATTTAAATAATTGGATTTCGGTAGCTTTTATATCACGTGGGAAGATCGTTGATTTGCGAAAAAGAAACTAATGGAAACGAAATAAGTAGATCGGAGTTTAAACCTGGAACTTACTCGTTAAATGATATGTTGTTTTTTTACGTGAGTAAACTAATTAGAACGATGAAAACTATTGGGGTGTCAAAACCTTTCAACACTTCCTTCAAACTCAGAAAGCGACTTTTGACACTATTACTACTGACACAAATAATTTTATTTAACTTCGTTAAATAAATCTCCGGTGCTTCATACAAAATTAACTGTTTAGAAACTAATTGCATATCAAGTAGCTGACATAATGAGAAGAGCAGTATGAAAGTAGAACTTGTAGGACTATCATGAGAGGAATTATTATTTATATTTTATTGTATGGTTAGTAGAAACTTGTACTGTTGTGTTTCTATATTCTATTCCTGTGCTTTCTTTTGATCCATATGTAATTTGTCTGCATAAGCATAATAAACTAACAACCTAGAATGACCTATTACCTAATCAGTAGTGCTTAATTACAAGACAATTAACAATGAAGAAAAAACTACAGCAGAATGATAGTTTAGATAGGATTAATCAAGCCTTACATTTTGAATTATTTATTATAGCAAAAATGGTCACCTTTATGTGTTAGAAGTTGTGAGTTAGGGTTATATCATAGGTTTTGCACCGACTAGCATCAGCTACAATGCAATGAAGCTTTGGGACTCTTGTGTATAAACTTAAGAAATTTAAGGATGAGATTTAGAGTTAAGAGTTACTGTGGGAGAATATTATTTAACTACATAAACACCCTTGGACTGTGCACTGAATCACATCAGATACATACATATAGTCATCAAATGCCCTGGTACGGCCGAGGGTGAGGAAAGTGTGCTTTCCTCGAAATGCTCTCACATGGCCACACGTATATAGCCACTCCCAGGGAAATCCTACTCACTGAATCCTCGCAGCGAGGGTGTTGTTTACGAAATTGAGAGGACGGAAAGCGAATGTCCGGCGCTTTAACCGGGTTGGTGAGTACAGAGGATACAGTAAGGGGAGTTTAGTCAGTCAGTCACAACGTAGAACTTCGTACGTACGTACGTACATCAGTTCGAGTTGCCATAACACACTGGCACAGAGATGCAATTTTCGATTTAAATCCCATAGTGGTAGAGGTAGTAAAAGTATAAGCAGTAATCGGAAAGACTAGGGTTTGAAGATGTTATTCAAGGAGTATGATTGAGTGAAATAAATTTGGAAAGAGAAAAAAGGGACATGAAGAATTCAGAAGATTTGGAAAACACTGATTTCAAATCAATGGTACACATGGGCTCCAGGATCCTAAGGAAGCAAATAGCGTATGAGCCTATTGTTCATCACCGGCTACCATGGGACTGCATCTCCTAACCTTGCTCCACTGCCTTGTGTGGCGCATATATATTCGATGCCTCCTTGTACCAATATTTATGTTTAAATAAATAATATATCGGGAGCAGGCACTTCTTGTAATTTAGCTTAAGGGCCATGTTGTGTGCACTGGTTGGAGAATAGATATTTTTCATTAATTCAAAACATTGTAGCGACCAAATATTGCTCAATTTTATTTAGATCCTAATAACATACAAGTAATCTTTACCTTTCACTATGCTTTTAATTTTGCGCAAAAATCTACGAAACCTTATCTTAATTCCAACTTTCTTACTCAAAACTGCCAGTATAATAAACTTTTACCACTGAGTTATTTGCACATTGTAATGCTCTAATTGTGTTGCTCTGTGGTTGGATATATCAAGTATATTATCGTGTGTGTTAAGTCATGATTGGATTGAGTACGACAGAAAACTTGATTTATTTATTTAAACACATACATATTGGTACAAAAGGGCACCAGATACATATGCGCCAGAAAACTGGTCTTATTCTTACCCTTGTCACTTGGCTAGCCGATGGGTTAGAAGGAACTCGAGCACCAATAAGCGTTAAGGCCTTATTCGTTGTTATTGGTTCATACATCAGTTGGTAAATAGGTCACCCATCTCAGTGGTAATAATATGGCTGAACTAATCGATAACTAAACTAGAGGGAGATCATACATCTGCTGCCATGTAATTATGCCCCGATCACAAGGGAGCAAATACATCCAAACATTTTTTTCCAACATAACAATAATCTATTGATAGTTTCTTTAGGAAATGATCTAACTTATTTACAGATAATGGAAAAACGTAGATTCTTTATAAAATACTTCTGAATACTGAGAATTTGTTTTGTTTGTTAATAGTAAAGGAAATGAAGTCATAACAGTAAACCATGTTCATCTGTAGTCAAATCATAGACTAATATATATGAATGTTATTTGTTGTTAATTTTCCCGTTTTACTTTTCTAAGTTATTATATTATGTACTGTCTATATTACTAGATAATCAGTTAGGTGAAATAAATTTAATTGATGATCCCTAAGTTAAATACAGACATCCAAGCATATCGAAGAGATATATGCATGAATTCTCATGACGTTATACTTATTACTAAACAATTGATCAGTCATATTCTACATGAAACGACTAAGCCAAAAACTTTACTGTATATGTTAGGAATCGATCAATGAAACATTATGATCCATTATCATAAATGTAGTTCTTGATTAGAATTTTATCCATTTAATGTGTTATGTTTTGCCTAAATACCTACATTGGTTACCAGTTTCTGTATTGGTTTCATTATGTTTACACTTTTTAAACGAATGAGGTTTTAACACCAAGTTGTAACAATTTTAAATGAATAATCTCTAAATTGCATTGTGGAGTAAAAAATAGAACATTTGTGAGCAAATTAAATCTGACATATGGTTATTAAACAGATGGTGTTAACTAAATTTTTTTTTACATACAAATGGTTCTTTGAAAGCGTAAAATATTATTTTATATCTTAGTTAAAACATCAGATTCTTCGAGGATGAAACTAAAATTTGCTAATGAATAAGAGGTAAAGAATCTCCAATCACTAACTTTCTTGTCTGCTTACTCCTCAGTATTATCATTAGATCTAAGTTTTAAGTTCACATTAACTCATTCACCAGGTAATTGGATATGGGCCACACTCTAAGTGTAAGGTTTAGTGATACTATCCGAGCCGAAATAGATGGGATTAAGCTCAGACCTGTGACTCAGAGTAAAATGCCACAACCACTAAGCCCCCGCTTCACTCATAAGTTTGGCGTTAGGAATAGGATTAAATAGCTGTGGAATAAATAGAAAATAAGGAAATAATCCATATTAAACAAACTAATTTAAAGACTTACAGTTTCATACGCTTGATATTTAAACGGATCCATTTCGAATATTGAATATGTTGTAGAAGATAAGTTATCCCGAAGTGGTTGCAAAGGCTCCTAACAATAGCAAAATATAAACACAGAATATGACATGACTAGCGTTTAGACTAGTTAGATACAATTTGATGTGTGTGAACCGAGTTATAAATGATCAGGGAATCAGGACTAACGATAATAAGTAAAAAAATATAACCCATGTTAAAATAATGGGGTATTTAAATACACAAAAAGATGTCACTTGCAACTGGTAATGCGTGGTACGTAACATGAAAAGCCGTTTCAGTCAGTCATATGTAACGTAGAACATAGCGCGTAATGGGTATCGACTGTCACTTTAAGCTTTCACCTTATTAGTACAACCAGATGAAATTATAAAAACAAATACCATAGTAGTAAAAGCAGTAACAGTATCAGTGTTGATAGAAAAGATTAGGGATAGATGATATGAGTTGAGGACAATGAGTGAAACTGTGAAATGAAAGGGGTAAAGTAGTTTCAAGATACAATATCTAAGGAAAGACAAAGTAAACGCATCTTCACTATACCAATCAATTCTAACACATGTCACTCAATGTTTCCAATCATCGTATGTGATGGTCGCCCAGACCACAACCTGGTGGTCTGTGCCTACTAACATGATTTGATTCAACACTCTGTGACTTGATAAACTGATGTCGTCTTGATTTGGCCACCTCTAGTTTTCTTTTAATCTGGTCCTACGCCAGCAAACATCGCATATCGAGGTAGGTTTTTTCACGAAATTTAGCTCTTTTCAGTTTTAGTACCATTGGAAAGGGAATATATACATATTTCGGTAGTGTTATAACTTAATCGTTTTGAGATTTTATAAACTCTAACCCTAATTCAACCACTATCATACCAAATTCTATGCTGATATGATTGATATAAACCTGTAACTCCATGATTTAGACATACAGCTTCTAGCTACTAAATTATGCCAGTAAGGCGTTGTGCAGATGGTTGAATTTCATTGAAATCAATCATAAACCGCCTCAAGTTAAATTATATGTTCGGAAACTTTTACTACCACAGTTTGGAGTGGCTGTCTTTAGATAATAACTATAGCTAATATATATTACATTATTACACTTCAAATGGTTAATGGGTTGAATGTCTAATTCTCATATATATTTAACGGTTCTGGTATGAAAAAAAACAGTGAAGTGTTCAAACAATTTTAATTATTGGTTATACTTATTTCTGGTCTAACAACATAGTGCAGAGAGAATACACAACACTATTCAACTAAATATCGAACGTAGTAGAGGACGTCAATAAAATGTATGGGTGTATTTTGTAAAATAAACTTTCAGACGGATTATGACATTTATTATCAGTTTAGGTAATTTATTTTATAACATTAAATAAAGTTTTTCAATTTTTTATTTTCTGTGCTCATTAATTAAGAGGAAACTTTGGGTAGACTAATATGTCATGTTTGTGTAATAAAACTAACCTGTAATTGATCTTCTAATCCTTTAGACTGTTCTTCATACAAATCAGGAGCATCTTGAGATTGCCAAAGCCATGTAATATATTGTTGATAGGCTGTATAACCTTTATCATTTCGGCAGGCACCAGTCAGTACGATCTGTACATTCAGCTATAAAGTGAGATCAGCAAACTTTCCCGTTATATTATTAAATCAAAAATAAACTGATTTAGCACAAAATATGAGAATTTAACAGGTATGTATTTGATAATTAGTTTGTACAATGAAGAGTTTAGTTTCTTTTTCATGAACAGACAACTCCGGAAGAATTTAATAAAAACTCAGAAGCAGTGATTATCAACTTTATTCTAATATTTAAACTTGTTCACTAAGGGACAACTAATGGAAAGACTTTACAAATCCTATTTTAGATCAGTGAAAAGTGAGCGGTAGTTTATTGGTGCTGTTACTACCATTATTTCTAGTACAAAATGACTGACTGACCACTCATCCGGTAATTCTTGATTTACGGTATTTCTATACGTTCCATCTTAGTTGCTGATCAGAATTATTTGCTATTAGATTTCTTGAACGATAGAAATTTTCAAGCTGTGATGGAAATTTGTGATATGTAACACAAGAGCACATCCCTACTGGTGATATTAGGAACTAAATGTGTCGGAACACCAATCAACTTAAATTAAACGGTGCGGATCGTTGAATTTCTAACAAGTGTGACTCGAGAGCAATTTACTGATGGGAATATGTGAAAGTATTGATTTTGATCCAATAAAGAATCCTACGCTGGAAGTGAACAACTAGTCTAACATCATCGGGATCCTGATGGTTTTCAACAAATATAAGGTCTAGGTAAAAAATATATTTGAATTAACCAATTTTGTGAAATCGTCTACTTCAGTGGAATAAGGAGGTTAAGAATTTGACGTCAGAAAGATGACGCAACTGTTCTATAAAATATCCAGATACACTAGAACTGAAGTGCTAACAATTAAACCGGATTAATTCATGGTTATATATAATCTACTGAGACTGGAGAACTGTTCCAGATGATGTGAGTCTCAGGTACAAAGACTCGAAATATGGTTCAAGCGAAGATTTATTTGTTCTTACAATGATAACAGTGAAGAGACGGTTTTAAGGACGAGAGCCTTATTCGCACTAAAGTTAGTTAGGTTTTGAATTTCTTTAATTTTTCCAGGTGAAGAAATTAGGACGATTACCGGGATCAGTTTACATTTTTATTAGCTTTTTAGTTTTGTGGTTTAATAACAATCTATTGTCGGTATTTTACAGTCATCTACTTCTTTGTATAGTTGTATATAACAGATTACACCAACCTTTATATTTTACAAGCAAAACGTATTCTTTTTGTGACTAACAATTCAACTTTAGACAAGATTGATTAGTTTCAGTCGGTGTACAATCCAAGTGTTTATGGGATGTCAACTAATGTTCTAATTAGAGAATCACTGACGGATAATTGACTTCTTGAAAGCCTAAGAGATCAACTTGACTGTGCAAACTTATCATTTTAACATTCCCTATAGCTTTTAGGAATCTGATTAACTAGCTAGATATACTTAGTTTTTGAAACAAGGAGCAGTAGTCATGGTACAAATGAGTTAGTGTAAAGGAATAAACAAAGCTATAAAACATTTATAACACAGTACTAATCCATACAAAGACTAAACAGGAACTGAAATGTGTTTGCCTAGAGGTAACAAAACCGTGTTATTATATCCATTAAAAGAAACGCATGAGAACTTATAAGTACCTTAAAGAACCGGCTGATGATATACTGATGACTCTTTGGTAGTACAGGGTAGCCCTTGGAATTTGTCAGGAACAGTTGTGTGTCGATCAACAAACAAACCACAGGCTCACTAAACCATCGTGAAATCACTGACTCATTGGGTAGATCATTTGGTATCTCAAGAACGATGCCAAGGGCATCTGTGATGTCAGCTGTCATAGTAGATAGACTTAGCCACCAGTGCCAGGGTGAGTAGATTGATAATTCATCCGGTGTTGATTGTTTGTTTTCCATTTTACTCACTGGAATAAATCATATTGATAAATTCGCCACAACGACGAAGTATAAATAGCACGAATAAATTCTAAAAACTTTAAGTACGTTGCATTAGCTGGGATAATGAAAACCAGTAGCAGGTTATTTTATGAATAATTAGATCATGACGGAGTCAAGCACGACAGTGTACCGCTTAAAGCTAATATGAGGTGAAATGAAAAACAACTGCCAGACAACCTATAAGCCATTAAGAATAGGTTGGTAAAAAGACCAATTCGTGAAAGATTCTCAAACCGCCAAGCTTTACAGCAAGGGGCTACTTGGCATAGGGAAGAGCTAATCGCAATTGCAGAGGATTAACTCTTTATTATATAATTAGTGATTATTCCAACGTTATGAACCTGTTTTCTTTTGTTATGCTCATGTCTGCCTTAACACTCCCACATTTTTTGATTTCTTTATTTCGGTACTGTTGCGACAACCGTAATAGATAAACTTGCAAAATGACAAGTGGTTTCCTCAGGTCTCATTAAGACAGTATGTTCTTACATTTAGTCATCAGATGACTTGGTGCTATGTGCTAGTCTGAGTAAGAAACAGTTATAAGCTTTATCTAGAAAGCTCCAAAGGCTTTGGCTTTAAAATTTCAAATTTAAACAACCCCAGCATGGTAATGTATATACAACTTAGATGAGTGGATTACTCTCATATTGACAGGACGATCAGCAATACACGGCTGGGGCAAACGAAATGATTGTTATTTACGATTGAGTTAAGTAGTTAAAGAACCAAACTTGATCCTTCTAATGTAACTATTTACCAATGGGTAACTATTGCCACAATATGCAATTCATCTGACTTTTTATGTTAGGAAATTAGTTTCCCCGAACAAGATTTTTCTATTTACAAATCTCTAGTTTGTCTAAGAGCAGACATGCTGAACTCTGAAGCAAATAGTCAGTTCTGAAGTCCTGGAAAATTTATTGAACTAGACGCTGTATTTGAGGGTTTACCTCATAACACCAATGAGTAGGACAATTAATCGCAGCTGCCTTTGTGAGGATTAATTGCCAGTGAGTTCGAGAACAGTTTGCTTAGTATCATTTTTAAACACGAAAAATTTATTTATTTTCAAATTACTAACTAAAAATATTTTTTAAATGTCTGTTGAGTATATGACACGTAGGTTGAGTTGCTTTCTTATGAACTGTAAAATAACTAAATCGCCGTCATGTTTTGAATTTTCATAATAACTACGCGTGAAAATGAAGACCTTACATAAAATTTAGATGAATGATCTGAAATTCTACTCACTTTCATTAGAGCCGTTGAGGTTGATTACCAATGGAAATACTAGCCATACCTTTTAAAATGTTAGCTAAACCAAAGTAAATACCTTAATCGGGGTGTATTCCCCACGTATAAAATTTACTAGTAACCTGGCCAGATTAGGATTGGTTGGACGATTGACTCTGATGATAACGGCAGGTAAGCCTAGATGTGCAGCCCAACTAAGTTCCTTCATTAATAGTTGAGCACCGGATTGACGGATGGATATTATGTCAGCATCAACATCAATCGTCGTCGATAACTTACCTACCAACGACTTCGTGATACTTTTGCCTTAAGTCTGAAGGAAATGAAAGTAAGTGCATACCATTTTTTTCATAGGCAAAGTCAGAACGTGGATCAGGACCAACAGAAGTAATCGACGGATCTTCAAGAATGGATTTTGGATGAAACAAGTCTATGCAAAGAAATGAAAACCTGGAATTGAATAATGAAATAGTTTAATCTTACCCAGACGAGAGAGCTGAAGAATATTGTGAAGACACGTCATTTGTGAAAATCAGGTCAAGACCCACCAGGGCTTCAGAAACCATACTCTCAACTAGTCTTCTAGCCATGCGGAGATCGACCTAGAGCATTCGACCCTTGAAGGTCAGTCGTTTACCTTCATTCAATTATAGAGAGCACTCAAATGTAAGACGAACAAATATATCAATATTTAATGAGGACTCGACTTGATTACATTGATCAGTGACAGAAGTTGAAGTTCACAAGAGTTAATGACAGCTTACATGACGTATCTAGTACTGGCAGAACTAAAATGATAGTGAAATTACATTAACTTATAACTAAACTATACCTTAAGGTGAATATACACTACCTTTGGAGGTTTACATTAGACTTTGATTGTTACGTGAAAATAGAGGAGGTTTGAAAGGTTCATTGCGGAAACATAATCTGGAATACGTGGCTGGGTTTTAGATTGTTCAGTTATAAAGTGTTTTTACGTTTCAAAAGGAAAGTAATGTAAGATTCAGGGGAAATCGCCATCGAACTTGAATCCAAGATGTCTGATAATCTCTGAAACAAGTATTGTATATATTCTCCTGGATTCTATCTCAGGACTGATGATGGACAAATATCTATTTGTCATCCAACTGCATCATATCATAATCTGTCAGACGAAGAACTACTTCTACTACTTTGAGAGAATCTTTAACGACGAATACTGATAGTGGGACTCCTCGGCTTCCCAGATATGTCTGGTCGTCACCGGATTCGGACTCATGTGCTAACTTCAAGTGTGTTAATTTTAAATGTAGCACGAGACTTAAGAATATCTCTACCTAATCTTATTTTTGGCAGTGGCTTTCAAACGGTAAATATCTAACAGTGTATGACTACGCAGAAATAATAAACAATTCAACTGGGTCACCTTGCTGGTTAAGTTAGCATCTCAAATTCAGATATAGGGACTGTGAAGTGTGCGGAAACAGAAGGGTGTGAAGGTTCGGTCACGCATCCGGACCAGATGAAGAGTGGAAACACCGTGCTCAAGTTCTCCTACAACCGCTAGCCGATGTAAATCGGTCATTTCTGGATATATTGATAGCCAATCAAATATATCTTCGAAACTCGTCGCTTCTGATTTCCGATTTCTTTGAGTGGGCACGTTTCGTCTATAAGTGTTACTGGTTAAGGTGTTGTAAAACTGCGAATACTTGTGTCATCTTCGCACTTGTTACCCCTCGTAAAGGAGCATAGGCCTCACACCGACATTCTCCATCCAACTCTGTCCTCGGCAATCCTTCCCAGTTCCTATTCATATCTTCTTCCGATTCCGGACGCAATGTGTTACTCGGTCTTCCTGTTTTCCCTTTCCCTTCAGCATTCCAAGTTACGGCTTGCCGCCTGATGCAGTTTGATGATCCCCGCAATGTATGTCCTATCCAACTCCAACGTCTTTTCTTAATTTCCTCTTCAGATGGGAGCTGGTTTGTTCTCTCCCACAATAGACTGTAGCTGATGGTATCCATTCAATGGACATTGAGTATCTTACTTAAACAATTGTTTATAAATACTCGTACTTTTTTGATGATAGTTGTGGTAGTTCTCCAAGTCGTAGCTCCATACAGTAGGACTGTTATGACGTTCGTATTGAAGAGTGTGACTTTGATATTGGCTAGAAGTTGTCTTGGGTTTGTGAAATTATTGCTTAATTCTGTACATTTGCCTTTGTTACTATTAGAATAGCTCTAATCCCAAAATCGAACACTTGTCATGATGTGACCACCTAGTCTTATAGATCTTACATGGAAGTCACATAACTTTCCATACTGACTCATCCTATGGTGACATCGGCAACATGATGTTTAGCAGTTCTAAAGAAAAGAATGGAACTGACGGAAGAATAATATATTTGACGTAAATAGGAACAATTTAGTCCGAATGACCAAGACAGCGAAGCAGCGCCATGCGATACCGATTCAGTGTTCTCGCGCTCACCACCGTTTATCTTATCAAGGTGTTACCTATTGAATATAGATCATCAAAGTAATTATATGATAATGTTCGAAGAACAAGGGGTTAGAAGCGAATACCACTACACGGTTAAGAAATGCACAATGAATAGAAGTCGGTTGATAAGATTGCTAACAGAACAAGTTTCGAATAATAAATGGAATATTCGGCCCAAGTGTATTCAGAAACCTTCAAATATCTCAACCAACAACAGAGTCTCATTATAAGTCGCAAGTCAACAGTCTCTGATAAGTATTATTGAATAGTGTGGAAACAGTAGTAGATTGCGATTTCAATCGATGCGAATAGAGTAAGCAGAATTATGAGTATTTTTGACCATATAATGTGATTGAATGCTTACTTATTCCCTAGAACAAAGATTGATACCATTTCTGAATTTTTTATTCTGCTTGCTATAGGAAGTCTTATATTTCAGCAGCAATTTAAAATTTTGTGTGACAACCACCATATTCACCAATGTTAGTTGCTTGACATGCCCAAGAACTATGGAGTGTCTTGACATTGACTAGTGATGCGCACAATACATAATAATCTTCTTCGATAACATGTAGATTCTTCTCCAACTTGACACAGTGCCATTCAGAATCCTCTTTATTTTGAATACATACATCGTTCAATAGTGCAACACACTGATATATTTCCCAAATTTTTAAAATTTACTCTTGGCAATATAACATGATATATAAACACCACGACTGATACAAGTGAAACTTTCTTAACCCTAAAACATGACGACCCTGGGTGAAAACGCATTCATAATATCCAGTGATTGTTCACTCATTTCGACTAATAGTTAAAACGAAATAACACATATAAAAAATAATCCTATGGGACTAACTGTCTTATAATAATTAATTAGGATTCACCGAAATGGGTTAGAATGAGACAGAAGAGATGTTTGGTATATATTTGCCACTGCGTAAGTAAATGACCTAGTAATGGGTGCATCAAGTGGTGTTTATTTTCATAATACAACATATTTTTGTTTTGATAAGTATTCATCATAACAACGAAACATCTATCTTGTAGTTTTGTAGGTTATCAGGAGAATGATAATAACAGTAGGTCAATCATTATTTTAAACATACTGACAATATCCACATTTTCAATGACCATTTGATGACGAACCGTTTCCGTAGTAAAACCTAAAGCTTTCAGTCAGATGGTCATGGTACCTATCGACTATGATAAGCGAATTCCGTATAATTAAAACAGTAACATTGAAAAAATAGAAAGTAGAACGAAACGACGAAAGTCGACATCTATATATAAGAAGGTAAATAATATAGCAATATAGCGATATAAGATCATTAGTAGAAAATCAGATCTTGTGCGATGTATAATATTTATTTTGTGCTCAAAAATATCAATTGTAAGTGGGTTTGTTAAGGGGTTAATATTACTACCGTATTATTGAGCAATTAAATTACAAATAAAAACAATTATGGAAAATATAATTCGTGATGTGGATACAAGTGAAATATCTAAGTCAGCATTCTTGTGCACAGAATAACTGCAGTTCAGTATTTATACTCGAGTTTGCAGAACAGTGTTTTGGAGGCAACGCATTGTGAGTAGTAAATTGATCGTAATGACTGACTGAACACACTTATGTGTACATTTGGCATCGTGATGTGAAGTTTATTTAGAGTTAAGCAAGCAGTTCATTGTGGGGTCCAAACGCATACAAGCCGAATAACGTAATTGATTGTTCAGCAATGATTTATAGTTCTATGACCCTGTCTGTACACAACCAATCCTCATGGAATTCATCCTATTGATGACCAAGTTGGGCACTACTGAGTGTTTTATTCGTCCCAATAACACCATGTTGAAATCTATTCCTGGCACTGATAGTTGTGTGATTCTTCTCCAGTGCTCACACTTGCTGAGATCTTTCCTTGGTATCATGATGAAGTGCCCGTAATTCCAGTCTGTTTGTATTTGTTCTTCCTCTCAAGTCTTTCTGGGCTGGATATGGAGTATCTCTGGAGTCACCTATACTTCTGAGTTCACTACTTCATATGGTATGTTGCCTGGTCCTACTGCTTTACCACAACTGATTTGTAAAATAGCGATATTGGTTCTCCAATAAAGGTGAGGCAACAGTTTTGGGAAGGTTAGTATGTTCTGCTTTGATGTCTGGTGGGTGCAATGAAACTGAGTGGTTCAAGAGTTCTTCAAAGTGTCCTATTAACCCGATTGACTATTCCTGAATAGCAATGATTAGCTTGACTTCTCTGTTCTTGACTGGCCGATCTGGTTAACTATATTTCTCTGATAGTTTTTTGTTGTATCAGGTAGTTGTGTTTTCACTGTTATTGCAATATCTTCCATACACTTCTGCTTGTTTGCTTTTGTATATTCAGTCGGTGCTCTGGCTTACTCTGCTCTTGTTTAGCTGCCGTTAATTGCTGTCTTCTTGTTCTTCCTTTCAGCGGTCTATTTATTATGATGGTGCTGTGGTGTGAGATACTTATATCGACATAAGTAGCATATATCGTGAGTCAGGATTAAAATATCTGGGAGTAGATGATTGAGAAAATCTAGAAGGGACGAACAGAAACAGAAAGCAATCAATATGGAAATGCAGGAACGATTAAGCCTGAGAACATTTCGCAAATGAAATATTAGAGTATGATTTTTTTCATTTTACCAAGTAACTTTGTAATTTTGTGCTAAATAGGTAGTCGGTTGACCTCACATGTGATCTTATTCACTGCGGTGCTTCTTGGGATCCAACTCTTCTTAAGATAATGAAATTACAGTTTCTTTAATTCCCTTTCAATTGTTCTCCACAGTAGTTTCCTCTTATTTATTTGATATTGTAAGACTTGGAACCTGTTGTTGAGAGCTATTTGAATTCGGTGAGTTTATCGGTATCTCGAGGGAAAGCTGTAATAAACCTTTGCATTTATTTTTTTCCAGTTTTCCAGTGTTTCTTTAGCCTTGATTTTATCTTGGACGCAACCAGGTGGTGATGTGAAGCTATGTCAGCTCCTACATTTGTTCTGATGTCCTCTATGGATATTCCGGATTTTTTATTGATGCAAATATGAACAATGTGGTTCTCTGTAATGTGATCCGGTGAAACTCATGTAGCTGTGTGTACTTTTTCGTGAGGGAATATAATGTCACTTATGACTATTTAGTTAAATGCATATAAATTTGCAGATTTCTCACCATTTTCATTACTTTCCTCTAGTCCCTGTCTTCTCATACTTGGTGTTGTCCATTCCGACTTTAATGTTGAGACCTCCCATCAGGATGGTCATGTTCTTTCTCGGGCACTTCTGTACGACCAAATACAGCCTGTCATAAAACTATCACTGATCAGTTCATAACACTGGATAACATCTGTTCTGACTTTATAAAAAAGGGCCGTTGCCAATTCGTTACGATTTTATATCCGGCTTTTTATCACGTAATTTATTCACCAATTGAAATACGACTTTTCTAATCTTAACACTGTGACAAATCAATGACGTTCAACCAGTATGAGTAGTCTAGCGTCCTTATTTGTCCCTTGTCCGCCGAACCCTTCCAATTGAGTTCAGAACACCAATTGCATTTTCTGTTATATGGATCATTAGTTTCAAGCATACTCGGTTTATATACCAGAAAGGCAGACCGCATCACACCATAAAATAGAAAATAATATTTGTACAAGATCGAGCCAAATGTGGCTGTGAATGCAGGGGACAGTAATTAATAGACTGGGGATAACTGAAAGATGGTAAATCGTATGATAATAGTCTATGGGTCAAATTAAATCTTATAATAAGAGGGACATGAATATGAATAGTTTAGTTACTTAGCGATTATACAATAGGAAATATACATATCACATTGGTCCATAAATAGTTCTCAAAGTTACCATTCATAAATTACTTTGGGATATAACAATTAGTTACTGATCTAAACTCTCAATAGAAGTGTGTTAATATTTTACATTAAAAAGTTTTATAAGTTATTCATAGTGTGTTATCTTTTAGAAAAGCGCAGTCGTAACTATTTGAACAGGAGCACAATAAATTTTTTATTCTTGTAGTTTAAAAAAAAAAGATTGATTTCAACTAGATAACCATTGAAAACCTGGAACTACTGAATGCTGACTTTTTGATCCAGTTGTTAATCGCTAACCACAAGTACTGTATTTTCTAGGTTTGATTATTCGGTGGGGAATCAGAAAGCTGCCAACTGAAATGGGATTCAATCCTGAGCTTTAACAATCATAGAATGTTGACGCTTACAGATATTAATAAATACTACAGACGTTGAAGTTATTAACTTTCAAGAATGTACAGCTAGTAAACGACGTATTCAGGTTGTACTGACTTAACTTACTGCATTGACTCCATGCCATAAACAACGTGGTATGAAATAAGGTGTGGAATATTGGTGAATCACAAGCTAGAACGTAACATTTATTTACTACTCCGTAGTTTTCAAAATTTGGGTTTGTTAATTCAGTTCGTGATGAATTCTGTATAATGCTGAGTGTTAACGTCATAGTTGACCATTTAGACATGCTAAATATAAACAATTGCTTCTTACATATCAGCAAACACGCTTTAAAAAAAGAAACGGATTGACCAAATTTTGAAATTAATATAATGGATTAATCAAAGGTGACTACAATGTATAACATGATACATGTAGCTCCTTTTATAATCTGTTTCTATAAATGTCATTATATTAAGTACTGTGAATACTTTTATATAGTTAGTGAATAAGCATGGATACGTAAGCTTTCATTAAATGGATTGTTGTGATTTTTTCAAAAATGATCAGAAAATTATCTCTCACCAATCAAAATATAAATTCAGGAGAACTTGATAAAAAGCAAGAAAGCTGTCCATTCATTATCGACGGATTTCTAAAGGCAATCGAAAAGTGTATAGACTTTCTGTATTATGTGCTACATGGTGTGTAATGTGAATGTGAAATTCAAAATATCAAATGAAAACATTAAGCTCACAGTTCATCCTAGATTACATCATTGTAACAAAATTTAGTTTGATATATCGTGTGACACTTGAAAAGCGGGAGTGTATTAGTGTATCATATGGTATTGTTATAGAAACTTAAATAAACAGACAGTGACGACAATTCAAAGATCGAAACACTGATTCTACGATAAAAGAATGTCTTCACATTGTAGCACTGTTGAACAGCAACATGAATTAGGTTGTGGAGTATTATGATATTTTTTTTCTGAAAATAATAATTACAGAATTCATGCCAGTTTCTAAGCATGATTAGCTTGATATAAGTAGTAACATTGAATGTAGAGAACAAGCATGTGATATAAGATTGTTTTAAGTTTAATTTAAAGATTGTTTAGGTACTAAACTTATGACATGTATTACAGCAATGAAATGCATTGACCGAGAACTTTTACTTCTTCTTAAGTGAACATCCTGTGGATTTACGAACGGTGCATTTAAGGTCATTTCCTGCAGCATAACGAATTAATTATGTTCATCTACAGCTAGAGAAAATAAAATGCAAATAGAGAGCGCTGAGCAACAAAGTAATAATTAATAAAATATGTCAGTCGGGTCTATCACAGTATGCACATATGCCAATTAGAGACTGACCAGTTGCAGTCCTAACATATCGATGGGAAGATTCAAACAAACAATACTAAATGAATTTAAAAGTGTGGTTTGTTTTTATAAAGGGAGTTCATAAATTATAGTATACAATTAATGAAAAAATGTTTAAAGACTATATATAGGAAAAAGGCAGGAAATAAATTGGAAATATGAAAATAGAGGAGTCCCACAATAGGAAGAAAAGGTCTTTCAGTGCTTCCAGGTTTTCCATGGTGGTCTGGCTTCAATTGACTCATGATTTCAACTATATATAGAAAATATCTTAGTTGAAGAAAAAGGTAACTGTTAATGTTTAATGAAGAGTTCAAGTACACAATTGAGATACATGTGAAATAGATGTTCAAAACATAGATTTGTCTAAAGAACGGTTCTATCACTACAAAATTCATATAAATTGGTTTCAAAACCTCAATTTTTTAAGGTAACTGTGACGATTCCTATCAATTTATAAACGTATGGTGTAATGCATGTTTATTTATTGTTTAGTATCGTAAAGTATCAACATGAATTAATAAAATCTATCGTATTTATTTTTGTAATTAGGTTCTCTTAACCCTTGTAACAGTTATTTCCAGCTTTTGCGTGTTGCTTGAATCTTAGTTTAAGCGTTGTAGTTTTCATATTTGTTAGCTATTTGTCCTCATTTTAATTGGTAATAATGACTACTATCTCTTGACATAACCACCAATTGTCATTTAAGCTATAGTATGTTGCAAAAAATGTTTATGTTATAACATTTTTATTCCAAACATTAACAAGTAGTGTAAAGCAATACAAAGAAAGTGGGTTGAATGAGATGACAAGAAGAGAGAGATGGCAAATGAATTTATCGATAATGTTATCTGGTCACTATACAAAGAAACTATGAAAGTAATCAATAGATGGAACGGTAAATTTTTCTAAATATTTTTCGAGGTATAGGTCACACTATTTATATGTCAACCAAATTGAAGGTGCTTCAGATTTACTGACTTTGAGTAGTAATAATGTTGAGGATGTTAGACTCCTAGAACTCACTTGAAAGAGGTCCTAGTTTTGTATTTTTATTCTGAATATTTGAATTTTATGTTTCCGCACAAAGAAACGCTAAGTTGACCTACAGCTGTAATGTATACAATATATATGATAGACGAAGAACAGATGGAATGCCACTCAGAAACATCGTAATTTTTCATACATTCTTTCCTCATCAGCCTCTGATATAATTGATATATTGATTCTTCCTAAGTATATAATCAACCTCCAAATTTCTTCACTTCCTTATATATAAGAAAATCAAGTGTGAAACTCATTTCTTTTTATTTAGTTTAAAGTATTCATTTCAAACAAAAAAAACATTCATATAGTTATGATAAATAATATGACATGATAGGTAATTAAGTTTTTCAATATTGTTCTACAAAGTAATGTCAATGAATATGAATAGTGAAAACAAACATTTCTTTTCCTTTCATAACAACGTCTAACATATTTCATGATGAAAAGAGTTAACTTTATACAAACCTTTAATGATTCTCATGAAGAAGACAATGACAATGAAGATAATTGTAATAATGATTGTGTAGAGTAAAATGAAGAACATGATAACAATAATTGTTATTCATTTGAAAATTTACTCATTAAATTTTTTTAAAATGAATTCTGTAGTGTAATCAAGAACTCGTGCATGCATTGTATGATGTAGTTTGTCAATCAATCTGTAATGTTATATTAATTAGGTTTGTAGGTAATTAATCAGACGAAATATTATTATTATTAGTAGTAGTAGTGATAATAATAATAATAGTAACATTAATTAGAGATATGGTTTTACATGTAGTCATCATAATTATCTAACGTGAATTGAAATGTCAATATCAATGATGGTTATAGTGAAAAAAAATAAATAATTGACCTGAATTTACTTTTTTTTGTTAATTTGTAATTTTTCGATTAAAATTAATTTTTTTTATTTTTATTTTGTATTTTTCTTTTTAAAATTTTACTTTGAATTCTTATGTTTTCTTTTATTCTGTTTTCTTTTCCATTTTTCTTTTTTCTTTTTCTTTTTTCTTTTTCATTTTTTAGTTTTACTTTTTCCCTTTTATTTTCTATTTTTATTTTTCATTTTTGGTTTTTCTTTTTCTTTTTTCTTTTTTTTCTATTCATTATTGATATAAATTATGATTATTATAAATTTCGTAATAAATTTTTTTTTCTAATTTCAAAACAAAATTAATTTGATAAATAATTTATTGTTTTATCATCACATATAATTTTTTTATATTTTTTACGATTATATGTAAAATATAATAAAATTAAATCAGTTATTATAGTAGATAAACTAAGTAAAGCTAATCCAGAACCAAATTTCATTGTAAATGATAATAAATTAAATTTACCAGCTATGCCATTTACTCTTAGAATAAATTGTATACCATTTACATGAATTAATATACGTCTACGTTGTTTTATAAATTCTGTATCATAACCATAATATACAGTAGTACGTAAATTGGAACCTTCATGAATTGTAATGACTTCTTCATTATCATCAATAATATCATCATCATCATTATCATTATGATCATCATTGTAGGATTTATGTACTTTATAAGTATTATTGTTTACCTTTGTATAAGTAATATTATTTGTTTTATTTTTTCTTACTTTATGTACACTTTCTAATTCTAAAAATTTGTAATTAGGTAAACAATATTTAATATCATAATCTAAATTACATTCCCATTGAATTGTAATTGTAATAACACCACCATATTTTAATAAACGATTTGAACGTATACCAATTAATTGAAATATATCATATAAACGAAATCTTGGACAATATTTATCTATTGAATGTTTTGAATTATATAAACAATTTTTAAGATAATTATTTGTCATCCATTTTAATATATTACTTAATTTAATATTAAATAATGGAAATTCTATACTATTTTTAATAAATATAGTAAAATTTACAATTTCAAAAAATGGATCAATCAAGTGTTGAGTACGTTCATTTAATTGACGTTTATTATCTAAAAAATCTAAATCTTTAAAATAATCATAAAAACCTTCTAATATATTTGGTGGTTTCATTAAATTTAATTTATAATGACGTTGTTTATATAATTCATATTCATAATCATCTGTTGTTGGACACCAACCATAAATTTGACATTTTTTAGTTTGTATTAAACATTTCCCAGTAAATATACCATGTCCACTTTCATCAATTATTATATTATTTTCATTTGGTACAATACCATCTGGACCATATGGTTTATAACCAGCTTGATAACCAATAGGACAATCGATATCATTATTACATAATGCATCTGGTAATTTATCACTTTCACTACATGTTGTCATACGTTGTATAACAAAATGTTTAATTAATGTTATTAAATAAAAACCTGAATTTTGTGTTGGTTGTAATAAATAATCACCATTATCTAATACAATTATACCATTTGTATCAGAATTTTGATATTTAAATATTTGTTTCCATGCTATACCATCAACTTTAACTGCTACACCACTTATAGCACGATCAAATGTTTGATAACCTTTATTTAACCACATTACATAGATAATAAAATAAGTTAATATAATAAATTGTATTAAACGATGTAATATAGCTAATCCTGGTTTACGTATGTGTACAACACGTGGCATTTCAAATGTAAACATTGTATTCCGGGAATAAATTATAATAATTTTTAAAAATTATTTGAGTTTAGATAATTCGGGTAAATGTATTTTTGTTGCTAGGTGACAACTCAGTTACTTATATATATACCTATTCATAAGGGAGTAACAAATAGGCTAACTTATATTCTAAAAAAAAATTTTTGATCTTTTTCCCCCTTTGTAGTTCATATTATTTGATTCAATTATTTATATTATGAATTATTGTTTTGTTTTGTATTGTATAATTAATTGTTCAATTATCCAATCAGTTTATGAAATGATTAGTAAAATAGGTTTAATGTAATCTGTAAAAATTCTCATCTATTGTGATTTTTTTTATATTTTTCTAACCTATTCCACCTTAACTCGGATACAAATATTATCATACTTTTTTGAATAAATAGTTGCTTTTGTGAATATTCATACATACCGAATGAGTAGTATTAGTGTATTGCCTACTGAATAGTAGTACAAATAACAAAGATAGTATAAAGTAATTTACAATAATGATATGTAAATGATAATAGTAGTAGTAGTACTATGACTTAGATACTCTATTATGTTAGAGATAAAATGATGTTTCTATGTTTCATTCTCATTGTAATTGTTATTATTAGATGAATATATATTGATATGATAGAAATAATTAAATGAATAATGATAAGTGTAATCTATGCTTATTTATTTTGTCACCGAGCTTACTTACCAACTTACGCCTGTTACTCGCAATGGAGCATAGGCTGCCGACCAGCATTCTCCAACCCACTCGTCACTGAGCATAATAGGTAAAAGTACATGTTGATGGTGGGAAAACAGGTGTACTGATAGTATTAAGAATATTAAATTACGATAACTTATTTATTTTATATAAAACTATCAATTCGTATTTATTATATAATATATGATTATTATTAATTTAGTTTTATTAATGATAATGATATTATTACTTTTCTATACTAACACATTTACTCTACAGTGTGATAACTTTATTGACAAAGTTATTATTTCATAATGATCATATTAGCTGTCATTGAATCACAATGCCAAGTAGGTGTGAAATAATTAATAATTGAAAATAAGTGAACATCAATGGGAAGACTCAAACAAACAATACTAAGTGAATTTAAACTTCACCTCATTGCACAAGCAAGTGGCTATCAAGATCCAGTGGCCAAGTGATTAGCGCGATGACGTTTGAAGCGAAAGGTACTGGGTTCGAGTCGCAGAGTGAACATTAACTCTGAAATGCAGGTATATCCGGTTGACGAGTCCCAAATAGGACGACGTGGTGCGCGTCCTGTATTCCACTGCTAGCCACTATCCATCTTTGCTTAACATTAATATTTGTTATCAATAAATAAATAATATGTTTGTAATATCCCAATGAGTAGAAAAATTAGATTTTTTAACGTTTTGTGACTCAGTGTAAGCTACTTCTTCAGAGAATAAATAAACAAATCCTTAACTCATATGATTACTGTGAATAAGATTAACAAACTTAGATAAGCGAATTTTTGTGACTAATAAATGATGTATATGCTTGGAAGGATAGCCTGGAGCCCCGACTTGTCTTTTCCCTGCCTGTCAAGTCCAGAACACAAATCTCAGCCTACGTGATTTGAAACATATATTTCAAACATATTGTTTTTATATGCAATTCAAATAGATCACATAATATCATGAATACAAAAATAACATTTGAACAAAATCAAGTCAGAAATGACTGTGATTGTGGGAGACTGTAATGAATAAACTGGTCGTAACTTGAGTACAGTATATTGTATAATAATAATCTATAGATCAAAATGAAGCTTATAATAAGAGGAATATGAATGTACATAGTTAAGTTACTTAACAATTACACAATAAAAATATATGTATAGTATAAGTTCATAAATTGATCCCAATAGTTTCCTTTTTATTATTCTTGTCGGGATACAACAATATTCATCTCAAGATAATATTCTAATAAATACTAAGAATATAAACAATAATTATATAAATAAATTAATATATTTGTAATATCCCGATGAGTAGAAAAATTAGATTTTCTGACTTTCGTGACTCAGTGTAAGCCACTTCTTCAGAGAATAAATAACCAAATTAACATTAATCCAAGTTTAAATAGTACAGCGGAACAACACGAATATTAGATGAGATCAATCAGAAATGCTTAATTTATTCAAAATTATCAAAACTTGGTAATAATTATATAAGCCTATACAACAAATAGACTTATAGGTATTTCATCATAATAATTTATAAATATTTGATTTAACAAGATGAAAAGAAAAAAAACTACATTCTTTTACTCCTTGTGATACTTGAACAATAGTTCTTCTGTTTTTAATTCAATGGTTTAAGTTAGAAATTAACACCATCAGATGCCGAATTGGTGGTCTATCGGTTAAGTGCTCTGGCGCGAGTCTGGTAGGTCCTGTGTTCGAATCTCGTGAGGCAGGATCGTAGATGCGCACTACTGAGGAGTCCCACAATAGGACGAAACGGTCATCCAGTTCTTCCAGGTTTTCCATGATGGTCTGACTTTAGTTGACTCATGATTTCAACTATGAAAATCCTAAAATCTCCACAAAACCCCTTCTGATTTTAATTCAATGTGTTAATTACTCAGTGTAGTATTTGTTTTGTTTTCCAGTGTGATATTTTATACCATAGAATATTTATTTATTTTAATATGTTTATTTAAGATATGATATTCTTTGTATTAAATTAGTGTGAACTATATTCAGCATGAAATACAATATGCCATATGTTATCATTTCAGGAATTTTTCATATATATGTGACTTTTTTCAGAATAGGCCTACAGTCAATAAATAAATGAGTGTACTTTCGATTAGGATGGTCGTGTTTTTATGGGTTAATAAATCTTTAATTGTACCAGTCTTTGTGTTCTTATTTCGCGTCATAGTAATTGTAGTGGTACCTCATTCTCAAATATAAGTAGTAGGCTACGTGAGTATAAAACGATTTGAAACAGTTAAATGTACTTTAATAAAAGTGAAAAATATTTGCTTATCTTCATCCAACTATTTGTGATTGCATCGTTATTATGAAAAGTTTGAATTATTTCTTTGTTGATATACTTGCCTAAATCTAGATTAGTATTTGTTGGACTTGCTGACTCAGTGGATAATGTTTTTCATACTTAAATGAGAGGTACTACTTCCGATATGTACATCAGCATTGGGATGCAGTTATATCCAGCTGACGAATCCCAAATAGTATGAAACATGTGTCTTCAATTCCACCATTAGCCTTAAACCATTTCTTCTGTTTATTACTAATTTAATTTGAAACTGATTTCTTAGTCTAATGCGATGTCAAGACAAATGAGATTTATAGAATCAATACATTTAAAGTACATTTAGATAGAGTTGAAATATGCAAATTATTATGTTAACGTCCAGCTAGACTATGTGATAAGTATACCCTGCTTTTTGGAGAATTCAAATACTCTATATTTAAACATACGTACAATTGTAAAAATCAGCTATAAAGGAGAACTTCAAGCAAATAAGGAATCTTGTTCATTATTACTAGGATTTCTAATTTTTACCTAACTTTCATTATAGCAAGTTTTTGTTTAATTTTATTGTAAAAATAACTGATGATCCGTTTTAAAACTACTGATTGTTAGGGAGATCCAGAATATTTCTCGAAAAAAAGTCCAAAGGAGCCTTGAAAAATCTAGGAAACATTTTTAGCCAACCAGTATTAAATAGAAGTTTCTCAGAAACATCTAGAAAGTGAAAAGTCAGATGTCATATTTTTGACTGAATTATTACCTATCCTGCTACTATATTTGGTAGGATTCTAGAACTTCCCAGAAGCTTAAGGCCATCTGATATGCCATAAATACCCTTGATTTTCTGTACATCATCTAACCTTAAAGTAAAGCGTAATGATCACATTTCGCGCCTTCTCTCTCTTGTTCAAGTTGTCGTGTAGATTCATCCTGGGGTTACAGAAGAACTTAAGAAAACTAACCAAGTATTCAGTTAGAAGATTTATCACTGATTAAACTATTCACCATAACTTCGACTAACAGATTTTAGAATTGTATGTGATGATAAAAATTGTTGTCAATAAACCTTTGTTTATTTTTATATTTATACTAGTTAGAATGACGGAAATTGATTATTTGAATAAATATTTTGTTTTATGGTAGTAATCGGAAAACAATCCGCAGTTTCTCTTATGTTGATGATATGATGACAGAAGTTTGTTAATAATCGTACAACTTCCACTTTTTATTTTCTTAACTTAAACTTCTCTGACTCACAAATCTTATTATAACACTTGCAATCGTTTTGGGAAATTTATTTAGCACCCACTGTTATTTGTCATCAGAAAGGAGGTTCCGTGGAGATTGTAGTAATTTTTAATTGTTGAATTCATGGGTCAATTAAAGCTAGACCACCATAGAAAACCTGGAAGCACTGGATGGTCGTTTCATCCTAGTGTGAGGCAGTTACAATCGAAGATGTTCGCGTAATCAAGTGGATAAATTGAAGCTAGACATTAATACCATTGGATACCTGCTCAGTGGTTTAAAGGTTAGGCGTTCTCGAGTGAGACCGAAGGTTCTGGGTTCTAGTCCCTTTGGAGCGGGATCATGGGTGCTCACTACTGAGGAGTACCATACTAGAATGAAACAGCCGTCCAGTGCTTTCAGGTTCTCAATGGTGGTCTAACTTACATCGACTCATGAATTCAACTAATAAAATTACTACAATCTCCACAATCTCATACTCTTATAGTAACGAGAAAGCTCATGAATGGTAATGGTTTCATTTGTACTAGCTGAGACCTATTATTACACATCAACTGAGACGATTAGTATTTATTCAAGTGAATGGAGAAGCACTATATATATTTTGAAAGTGTACTCCTCTGTGTAGCTACTAGAAAATGCATCCATTTGCAAATTTATAACAGTTTATGATATAAATCTTTACAACCGATTAGCATAATAGTAAACGTATACTTTTTTAATAAAAAACACTCTGTTATAGATATTATCTGAGATTACTGACAAGTAATTGTATTTTTAGCAAAAACCAGTAATTGATTTATCCTATTATGCATCTAAACTTCTATAAATCGCCAATTTATTTCGGTGAACATATGATTTAATTACTTTTAATTTATAAGAAATATTAATGATTACATATGGTTTCTATTTTTATAATAACAAATATATGATATCAGGACTCAGTAGCTGAATGGATAACGAAGCGAAAGGTTCCGGGTTCGAGTCCCAGAGTGAACATTAACTCTGAGATGCAGGTACATCCATCTGACGAGTCCCAAATAGGACGACGTGGCGCGCGTCCTGTATTCCACTGCTAGCCACTGTCCACCTTTGCCTACAAAAGATATTCCGGTTTATAGATTCATTTCATTAAAGTTTATTTCTATTTAATGAGGTATTTAAATAGGTGTTTCGTGGAGTTCTAGTGAGAAGCCATGTCCAGTGGAGTTCAACCGAGTTTGTTGTAAGATAGTAACTCACTGAAGGCAATGGTGGACGGTTGCTCAATTTCGTGGATTGGTTGAAGTTAGACATTAACATTGTTGGATACCGGCTCAATGGTTTAGAGGTTAAGGACTCGCACGCGAGATTGATAGATCCTGGGTTCGAATCTCGTGAGGCGGGATCGTGGGTGCGCACTACGAAACAGCCTTCCAATGCTTCCAGGTTTTCCATGGTGGTCTAGCTTCAATTGACTCATGATTTCAACTATAAAATATTTAAAAGCTTTTTTTTATTAAATGAATAATCTTATCTCTATCTATCAATTGTACATTTTATTTAATAAAATAAATTATTTAAAAAAAAAGGTTTTGTGAAATTCCAGTGTAATTTTGACAATTCAATGAGTTGAATTGTAAAAATCATTGGAATTTAGAAATCAATGTTTATATTTTAGTTTTGATATACTTTGACATTAGATATGTATGATCTTATAAAGAATGGAACTTGTGATTGTTAGGTCTTGAGGTGAATATAATCTGTGCGTTGAAATCAAGAGTTTCATGTTTATTTCTAGCTGATATAACCTAATCTTTATTTATTATCTTTAGGAAGTTATAGTTTTAAGAAATAGGTTTTTTGAGAAAATGACTCCTTCATTATACTTTGTCGATTAGTTTTTTGAGTATATGATGATCAAAATACTGTTGATATACCTTTTGTCAGATAGGATTATATTTGTTCCGACTGTTCTTCATGGCTCATTTTTTCATATTTTTTAAATTTTTTTGGAACTATTCATTATTGACATATTTGCTGCTTTCATAACTATTATGACAGTTCATTTTTATTCTTTACTTTCTACATTTTCACTAAGAAATAATGGTTGAGACTGATAGATAGGGAACCATGAACTTAGGTTTCAATGTTAGTTGACATTCATCGGGAAAGTATACTTGTAGTCTTGAGGGAACTAATGTTCCATGAAGGATTTGATCCTGTGACTGACCCCTTATAAGACTGAGACCTATTGATAGTTGATTGATCGTTGAGTGGTCAGTTATTTGTTTAAACAGTACCACTTTATGTACGATATAAATGAAACTATTGTTTACATGCTGTCAATTATTTGTTATCTGGTAAGTGACCTAGTCATGGAATATTGATTGGGTACTTTGTATAATAAATAATAGTTTTAATTCTATTATACTCATTAAAACAATGAATTGGGTAGTGCTTTCGCTTTTTAAAAGCACGTCGGTTAAGAACTGGAGATCTATTCAGCAAATATTTTTAAAAAATTCTGTTAACTTATTTATACCAAACATTTTATCGCTTAATTCATCCTTTATAACACTAATCACTTATTAAGGGTAAACTGTCATTCAGTCACAGTGAAGAACAGTTACTTGTCAATGCAGTAAAGTAGAATGTAGAAACAAAATACTATTCAATGTAACTGAGAAATGATATTGACTATTCTATATGTCAGTCAATATTAATATTCCCATTATTCTGCTGAGTAAAGTAACTCTTTTGTTTTCTAAAGTAATCTGTTTCTCATATGACTAGATCAAAATAGATATTTTGAAAATAACAGTCTACACGAATTATCATTAAGGTAAACTTGTAAAGTGTTGTCAGTTTTGATGATATTCTTCGTAGGATAAAGAAAAACAGAACTAGGGGAACGTTTTTATAAAAAAAAGTTTATAAAATTAATTAATTTGAAAGTAATCATAACAACACTAAATCACATCTGATTATGGACTAATGTAATATGATGTTAGGGATAGATAAATCTATTGATTTACGATTTAGTGGTAGCCAATATCATATTTATCTAGCCCTTAATGCTGAACAAATTTAATCAATTAGTTTGCGGAACAGCCACAATCACTTGACGGCTTACTTGAACATCTGGGTTACCTGTTCCTGACATCTAGATATTTCAACAAGTTATCTATTTTTGCCTCTTTTAACACATCATTACGTTTATTAATCGCATAACCTATTCAGGTGCGTTTCTGAAAAGTGTACAATCTTTTGTTGTACAAGTTCCAAAAGGCTCAATCAGTGTTATCGTGGTTGCTGGCAATATGCAGCGAAAAGAATGTACATTATTTGGATATCGATTTACTGGACTTCAAACATCAATGTCTTCATGAAAAGCAAACATTAAATGCTTCGTTTGCACATCTTCCATCAGTTATTTTTCGCAAACTTTATTGCTCCTCCATTCCTGTGGTTATTACAATTTCTCTCTGTTTACATTCCTGTTCTCTGCAATTCAAACTTCTTAATGTTCTACTGCCATACATTCCACTTCTGATTGGTGTTACATACTACAAATATTTGTCAGCATAAGTAGCATTCAACATATATATTTGAAAATAAAATCAGTTTCAAACATAAAATTATGTCGTGGACTTGAACTTCTTTACTGTACTCATAAATATAGGTCTCAGAATTTCTACAATCACCTACAGCATGAATGCAAACATTTGTTATTCTCTCAAAGTTATCTTTTCATTATATTTAGCTGAAAAATAAGACATTTGTTGACTGGTTTATGACACCCAGCTGTTTGAATAAACTTTAAGTAAAAATACCCAGATCCTGGTATGATTTATATATTCTTTTGATAGGAAACGGTGTAACTGGATATCAACAACAATGTTATAGAAGTTTCTTTTTGCTTTAAATAATCATTTAATTTTGTCATATCGTCTAAATAATCTCAATGGATATTCTACCGTCTTGTTAAACTTAGTTACAAATAAGTTATTAGCTGATAGTTATTTCATCATACATAAATTCAAATCACTATTATGTGAACAATCTAACGATAGATGGTAGCTAGATTGTAAATGCTACAATCAGATATTATCGATTATTCATTAATGTAATTGATGAAAAAATTGGCATTATCTCTAGCTATTTTGAGATTAAAATGATTCTAGTTTCTCATTCATTTCGTTTCAAGGATTTTATTTCATGAATTAAAAAATGTAAGAACAAATGAATTTAGCTCACTGAGATTGCTTAATATTAGAAGGGGGGTTTGTGGAGATTTTAATGATTTTACGTAGTTGAAATCATGAGTCAATTAAAGCTAGCCCACCATGGAAAACTTGGAAACACTGGATAGCTGTTTCGTCCTAGTACGAGATTCTTCAGCTCTGCGTACTTATGATCCCACTCGTGGGATTCGAATCCAGAACTTGATCGGTCTCGTGTGCGAATTCTTAACCTCTAGACCACTGAACAGGCATCCAACACTTAGTTACCATTGAAATGAATCAGTAACCAACTACATAACACCTACGCGTTTATTTATAAGTGAATCAAATTTTCAGTCTCATTAACTGTAATTAATAATTATCGATTATTTAAATGATTGTGTAAATTGATAATTTAATCAATAAGTAATTTGTGTGTAAGTTGTATAGACATATTGAAGTGTTGAGAAACAGACATTCCTAATTTACATATATACAAATGAATGTTCATCTATTCATTCTAATTAATATCACACTTCATACTTTAATATCAAATGCATCGTTAAGCAACGACGAATAAATAACACTGTCGAATCAAATTATCTAACCGAATAATAAACGATTCACTGTCTAACTGAATCAATCTGTTGAATTTCGTCTAAATAGTTGTCCATGGAATAGATTATATGGAAACTTATGGAATATATTAAATCTCTCTATCTCTTATGCTATTACAAATAAAGAAAGGTATCATTCTAGTAGTGGTAGAACAAGGGGAATTATCATTCTGAAATTCATTTAAAGAAATAAATAAGAATTATTATACATTTTGTTTGTACACATGTCGACTGGTGGTTATCATCATGCAGCAATTTTATCACCGGCTTTCTATGCAAGACAATGTTATTCAGATAATATTAGTAATGATTCATCATATTGGAAACATGAAGATGCTGCTAGACATTTATCAAATCATGTTATGAATAAATATCCTAATTTAAATGTTTTATGTTTAAATAATTCAACTTATATGAAAAATGATCTTTGGTCAGATTCAACAAGAATTAATGCATGTTTATTTTCTCAAGCTAGTCGTATTGTTTTATTTATACCGGATGATGCAGCTGAACATATTACTTATTTTAGTCGACATTGTTTACATCCATTATTGTGTAGATCACGTGATCAAGGTGGACGACCAGAATGGCATTCACGTTTTATTGCTGTTGCTATTGGTAGTGTACAAGTGCCAAATCAATTAAATCCAGATGTACCATTTATAAATGTAATACGTTTTCGTGAAATAGGATGGTTTCGAGATATTATGGGAATGATGTTGTTAGAAAAAGCAATTAAAGGTCAGTTAATTAAGGATTGATTGTGTATATTTCGCTTAGTTATCCTAATCCTTTGTTATTAGTGTGAAACTAACTTAAGTATGATGATCTGGTTACTTACTTACTTACGCCTGTTACCCCTCGTGAAGGAGCACAGGAGCACAAGACCTGCCAGCCTCGCGCCAGAGCACTTAACCGATAGACGCTACTTCAAAATTGATCTCATTCTCAACTTACCACTGGACACAATTTTATCAGTTCTCCAATACTGATATGAGCATTATCATCATCACCCAGAACCTATCAGTCTTACTGCTGAGAAGTCCCACAATAGGACGAAACAGCCATCCAATGCTTTCAGGTTTTCCATGGTGGTCTAGCTTCAATTGACTCATGATCTCAACTATTAAAATTACTATATTATCCACGAAATCCATTCTGATAAGTTATACTCTAATAAACTGTATTTGTTGTTATCATTAAACGCATATTCTACATTTTTCAACAAACCTACGAACTTTTATTATTTTGATCATGGAATGAATATTTTAGCGTGTACTAATGACGAGTCCTACAATCAGTTTGAACGACAAGTTTGTTTGCAATTGTCTTTCTGAGTTGCAGCTGTATATCAAACGTTAAACCTTTAAGCACTAAACAGCTACATTACTTAGTAATTTAAGACAAGTCGAGCTGTTCATACTAACTGGTTTAAAATTTAATAAATGGGTGACGACCTTAGATATCATGACTAGAAATTAGTTGCAGTAATGTAGATAATATTCTTTCTTTATCTTGTTCTAGAGTGTAACATTCAATAATATTAGATAATTTCCATTGAATGACTTCGTTCTTTCTTTTCAAAACATATTCCTATTTTTAATTTTATTTTTGGCATCGTGTACACTTTTATTATTTCTTTATTATTCATTTTAATAATTTTAATAATTACCAATGGAGTTCTACCAAGTCTGTTGTAGAGATATCAACTCACTGAAGACAATTGGTGAACAGTTGCTCAAAATCGTTGGTTGGTTGAAGTTAGACATTAACACCGTTGGATGCCGGCCGGATCAGTGGTCTATAGGTTAAGTGCTCTGACACGAGACTGGTTGGTCCTGGGTTCGAATCTCGCGAGGCAGGATCGTGGATGCGCACCGCTGAGGAGTCTCACAATAGGACGAAATGGCCATCCAGTTTTTCCAGGTTTTCCATGGTGGTCTAAATTCAATTGACTCATGATTTCAACTATGAAAATTTCATCTCTGTTTATTGATAGTGATGTAGCAAATCGGACTTATGCTCATTCTTTTGCCAAATCCAATACTGATTATAATCAACGGAATGTTTGAAATGCAAATACTTATAGTAATCAGGCCAATAATTTTTTTAATAAAATCTAGATTAACATTACTAGTCTCAATATTGACAATAATGAATAATCTGTAATACAATTACAATTTCATGTGATACACTAACTTGGTGAAGAGTTAAATCTAATCGAAGGTTAATTTAACTAATCAATACACTCAGGATTTATTGATATTTTAATTAGGACATCAATTATAATTATGGTATGAAGAGTAATACTAGTGTGATATTAATATTATTATTAGTAGTAGTAGTGTAGTCAACGAATAATTGGTGAGGAAAACCAATTTATTGTTTTACACTAAATCAAACAGTAGCTTCGTAAAACATGAAAATTATATAAGCAAAGGTGGATAATAGCTAGTAGTGGAATCCAGGATGTGTGTTTCGTTCTTTTTGGGACTTTTCGGCTGGATATACCTGAATCTCAGAGTTGATGTTCACTCTAGGAAAAAACAATATTAAGTGAATTTAAATTACATCCCATTGAACAAGCAAGTGCCTACAAGGACTCAGTAGATAAGTGGATAACGCGATGGCTTTTGAAGCGAACGGCAGTGGGTTCGATTCACAGAGTGAACATCAACTCTGCAATGTAGGTAAATTCACTGCTAGCCTCTGTCTATCTTTGCTTATAAAGCTTGTGGCTTAAGGCAATAAGCATAGTATGCACATATGTCAACAAGACACTGATCAATCTCAGTCCCAAATATCAATAGGAAGTTACAAGCAAACAACAAATGAATATGAAAACAATATGTTGAATATATTATTTGCGTATATTCCTCCAGTTGTCCTTTACATACTTCATCATTCTTCCGATCCTGTTGTTGTTTTCTTTTACTGCTCTTTGGTTCCCTCCCTCTTCTCTTTGTTTCACTTTTCTGCCAGTAATCATCCCACCTCTAATTCCTGCTACATACTGCTTATATCTGTCCACAAATGTAAATACACACCACAACAGTAGTGTGAGTTATATCCAAATACTCAAATAGCATCTTTTCGAATTCCAATAGGACATAATAGTATAAATAATCATCGTTTATTTTACAAATGGTTGACTTAATTGATCTACATGATTTGTTCAGTTGAAATGACTAGATATAAAATAAGACACTGGTTACTGTTCACTTATAGACCAATATATAAACTAATCAGTAGTACTAATGATAATATCTCTGATTTTACTTCATTTATCTGAGATAACTTAAGTTCCTACAAAAAATCTTCATCATCCTGGGAATGTCAATCAGCACAACACTTACTTAAAGTAAAACATCCTACTTTTTTGTGTCCAATCATTCATTACGAAATAGACAAGTTTATGAAATAGCACATGATTGAAACAAACACCATAGTAAATTTAATTTAAACAATTGAAATAATTCTTTATGATGATAAAAATTTCAAATATACTGTTAGATACAAATTATTATCCAACCAAAGATCGATAAATTCTATTTATACGACAGATATGATAACTTCATCATTTGTGAAGAAAACAGCTAATTTAATGATGTTCTACGAATCAATTACAACCACACTAGCATCGGTCGTAAACTCAGAATTTAGTACCGTTGATGCCTTACTGAAACAAAGATTGAATGCCTCTCATCGAAGATCAGCACATTGAAAACCAACTTGGGATGGACGGCGCACGAATTTCCGAAATTGAGTACCTTTATTCTGGTAGAGAATCTTAATCTATCACCAGTGACCAGACGAATTCTCACAGAAGTTACGACTGATAATAATGATAATAAGAAGAAGAAGAAAAAGAAAAAGAAAAAGAAGAAGAAGAAGAAGAAGAAATTGAATACGGTCTGTCGGAAATTCACTGAAGAAGACTTCCCTCTCAAGTTCATTGAAGGAAATATTAACAGCGAATAGAACATATACCCTCAGTACCCAGGAAGATTTGTTCCTTATGTAGTAAAAAGTTCGAGAAAAAACAACCGTAAAGATCACTGGGACAGAACATCTGTCATGTACAGTTCCGAATTGTCCACTACATTCGACAGTACATTCTAAGGTGTGTTAAAGAGAAGCATCCAGTCTGGAACAACTCAATCTTTATTCACCAGGTCATACTATCTACACAAAGTGTTTTTTGTTTAACGAATTTCCCTGCGTCGCTGTGTATAATGATTCAAAAAAGGAATTTAAACAATTGATAATTCTATTCTTGAAGGCCTCGTTACCTGTGGCCATTTAGCTCCTCCTGCAAGTATTCTCTAAAGTTACCAGAAATATTTTTAAAATCCGGTTTAATCGAATCACTGATCAGAAATCTATGTGAAACGAAAGCATTACCAATTCATTATCTCAGGCAGGCCCACAGTACTCTATTAGGCCGATGGGATGTCCCGTGTGGTGTCTTGTGGCCTATTAACTATCACGTGATCAAATCATCAATCAGAGCACGACTTATACAATCTTAGCAATGTGCCATACCAATGACGTGTTGACCGGTACGAGCAGCCTGTTTATTTTTTATTAGTGGCAAACAATCAATTACAGTTCTTATTCAGGGATTTGAAAATCAACTCTCACTTTCCTATCATTCATGGTTTTTATCTATCAAATCTATCTAATCTTAATTTAACAAGATTATCTATCTAGCCTATAGCAAGTCGTTCTTTGAGCTCCTTCATATCCATCTATAGTTGCCTCGATCAGTTCTTCATGTATGTTTTTTAGCTTATTTTTACTTTCTATCTTACTATCTATTACTTATTATATACTTTTTCCTCTTAATTTTACCGTATACCACATACTGACTCTATTTTGTCTTATTTCCTCTCGTTTTTTAGTCCATCTATATTTGTTCTTCCTATTATTAATTCTTAATATCCTATGTCTTGCAGTGCTTAGCACTGGTCCCAGCTATTTTGCGTCTTTTTGACGTAGTATTATCGTCTTATTAGCCCGTAAATCAGTGTGTGTATTAATACTGATTCTACTAACTTTGCTTCCATTATTATACCATTCTCATTTTGATCTTAAGATTGGTCTTATTTAAATAATTGCATGTCTTTCTCTAATTACATCTTTTTGGATAGCCTCATTTGAGTAACATATTTCACATAAGTAGATAAATACTGTAAATAACGAATTTCTAAATACTTTTAGAACTTACTGATGTGTTAGCTTTTATTATTTTGATAGTTGAAAGCGTTATTCAATTGAAGCTAGACCACCAGGGAAAATCTTGAAGCACTGGACGGCCCTTTCGTCCTATTGTGGGACTCCTCAGCAGTGCTCATCCACGGCCTCGCCTCGCGAGATTCGAATACAGGACCTATCAGCCTCGCGCCAGAGCACTTGACCGATAGACCACTGAGCTGGCATCCGACGCTGTTTATGTCTAGCTCCAACCAATCCACGAAGTTGAGCAACCATTTCACCAATTGTCTTCAGTGAGTTCCGAACTCACTGTGCTTCCAGGTTTTCCCTGGTGGTCTAGCTTCAATTGACTCATGATTTCAACTATGAAAATACTAATTCTCCACAAAAAACCACTTTTTTATTATTTTGATGAAAACTAAAACAGATAGAAATTAAACTAATTTCTTGATTTGTTTAAGTGTGAAATCAACCATTCTTTATTTCAGTACCCGTTGAAAGTGTAATATCTAGCGATTTTGATA